ACCTAAACGCGCGTGTCAACTGAACGGTCCAATAACGATCAACAGTATTTAATTTCGCGAAGCCACGCGCGTAGACGCGCGGAAATAAAATCTTGCGTCGTTGTCGTGATCGACGCGCGTGTACGCGCGTCTTCGCGCGTCCATGTGAATGATGTATAAGAAACTCGCATATCTAAATACGCGCGATTAATCGACGCGCGTGTACGCGCGTCCATGTGAACCTAGCCTTAATGGCTGCCAGCCGTCCGAACTATGATTACCGGGAATACCTTAAGTTTCACAGAACGTTTTATAAAAACATTATATAATTATCGTATTGCTCGTACCGTAACATATTATTAATAATTATAAAGAGTTGCGAGTTGTACAGGTATAGTAAAATAGGTTCAAAAGGTTGCATTACTATTTTCTTTTTTAGATTGGTTGAAATTTTGGATAATTTTCCAAAATATGCAAAATAAGCACAATAACGTAAAAATAAGCACTTTCCGGCAATACGTATGAAATATGCAAAAATATGCACATTCAAATTTTAGATCTGGTATCACTGCATTGAGAAATGAATTTATTTCGCACTCTGCTACATTTTACAATAAATAAAAAAAGTATGCAAATGCTATAAGTCCCGAACCCTGGTTATGAGGCACAAATTTATCCTAATAAAGTTGTGGAATTAATCGTTCAAAGAACACGGTAGCCGAATAATTAATTTTAACCGTTCGGCACATATTATGAAACTGTTAAAAACAATATTCGGTCGATGATGAAGTAAAGCCTACGCGGTGGGCATAATATTGTTATATTTATAATAATATACGCTGTGGGCCGACGCGAGTCGCACGCCACCAAGTTCCTCGTCGGGGAGGTCCGCGCTCGGCAAGAACGCTGCTACGCATCGACATCAATTGTCATGAACTTACAAAAGTAAGTAAAACACTCATTTTACCCGAAATACATAGGTAGCAACGGTATGTAATTAGTGATTATTGGAGCATTGAAAACTCACCTAATATGCGCTAAAAAATCTTAAATATGCATACACTTTTGCACTAAGATGTTAAAATATTGCAAAATAAAAAATATGCATAAAAATACAAAAAAAAAATTTTTTTAAACAATGTATTTAAAATTATTGTACCCTACTAAGTACTATGAATAGTGAATAAATAAATAAATAGTGCTTTTAATAAATTGTACTATAAATACTTTTATTCATTTTTTTCTTCACTTTCATCATTTTGTAAGTAGTTTTAATCTATAAATAACATAAATAATATCATAAATGTAACCTAAAATAAATTTGCTTACCTAAATATGAATTACATTGTAGGACATTCATTTTAGCTATATTTTCAAAAACCATTGATTTAACGCCACTGCAATAATGTCAATGGTAGTAATCGATATTTTATTATCTCGATTCTCGGTACAGTGAAAACTGTCTAAAGCGGAATCGCATGGGACCAACAAAAAATTCCGCTTTAAGCAGTTTTCCGCATTATTCAATAAAACGGAAAAATTCCGGATTATTCAATTCAAATAAATACCAAAGAATATTTGTCAAATTATTGTTTTAAATAATGTAATTCATTAATTTTAAACTAAGATAACCTTTTAACCATTCTTCTTTAATTCTATTTTGATTTTTAAGAGTATCGTAAACCTGAGTTTTTCCACAATTAAATTTATTTTGTAATTGTTTTACTGAATGACCTTTTGTACATCGATCAGTTGATATTTTTCATTTAATGAAAGACACTTATATTTTGGCATTTTAATATTTAATGCGATGAACGGGAGATGAAATAAAACTAAAAGTGTACGCACAACTGATTCACAGTTACAAAGAAAAAATTTCGTATCGTTTAAGATGCGATAATACATTATAATAATGCGATAATGCGTTGTATGTACAATGCAATAATATATTGTACGAATATGTACCTATATGTACCTATAGAACAATTTTATCTTCTTTGTCTATCACTATTTAACGATGTACATTGTACATACGCATATCGGCATATCTATATTTCATACCTTATTTTTGGTTTAGATTTGACAAGCAAGTGTCATTTTTCCGGTTAATGCAAGGCTTTTACTTGCATGGGACTTATGAAATCGTTCCGTTTCCGCGTTATGGAGGTTCCGTTTTATTGAGGTCGAGCGTCTATATAAAACTACATGAACGTGCCGGGACCATAGGAAAATTCCGTATTTGATAGTTTTCCGTATTATTCAGGGTCCGCTTTAGACAGTTTTCACTGTATATGTATTTTATTTCACCGATTATTGATCTAAGGTCATAATTGAGAAGACCATTAATACCTCCAAGTATACCGTTTAGTTTATTTTGATTTTAATAGAAACTATAAATATATATAAATATGTATATATATATTTTCTTATATTACAATAGAATATATTTCAAGAATGTCTAAAATAAAAAAATCTAAATATGGCACTAAAATATGAAATACGCAATTAAAATTGTAAAAAAGTTCTAAATAGAAAAATAGGGTAAATGTCTAAATATGCAAATTGCAAGGATATGCACAAAACAAATTTTGCCCTCACTTAACATAATATTATCATACGATCAACCAGAATAAATATTATGCAAATGCATACAAATCCACGGTCTAGTGATCTTTAAATATTTAAATGTATAATTCTGAACTTTGGTATGATATTAATGGTAGGTAGACAACGATCGAGGATCGAAGACGAGTTGTCACTAAACACCGAGTCGTGTGGAGTGGAATATGTATATTATATTCAACTTGTAGGTAACATACTACCATTATTTGATTTACCTATGAATTAAGACCACAGAACACGGCGTGATGTAACACTGTGAAGTAGGTATTAGAATATACGGTTTTAAATAAATAAATAAGGCCAATAAATAATAATAGTAAAAAATTTATAACCTTAATAGGCTAATAATAGTTTCTGAGATACACTGTAACAGTGTAACTGTATTCCGTGTAGACTGTGTGGTTTACACATTACCATAATAATATAATATGCCAAATAGTTAAAAAAAATTATGCGACTGAGTACTTCTCAATGTGGTTAGGTATTTGGGTAGTTATTAATGACTAGGTAAATTGTTTTGTTTAATTTGGTGAATAGCCGAATAGGTTATGGGTAACAAGAAAATTCTGAACACTGACCAGTGACTACACGAAATACTGTGACGGTCTATAATAATAGTCGTACAACTGCGGCGCGCCTGTATAATAATTAACCCAGCAACAACGAGTCCTCGCTAATTTCTCGAGACTCCGCGGATAGTAATCGATAATTAATTACGTCTAGCCGCCTATAGGCTATTATAGCCTATGTTGGCTATCATGAGAAAATAATATTTTTAAAATACAATATGTTGTCATGGGGGCTACGGCGGCCTATAGGCGCTGCGCCGCAACTAACGAAATACCGAGGCACAACCACCATGGCGTAACGATGATAAGACGACAGTGGTGGAGGCGGCGGCGGCGGCGTGACGTCAGGACGACGTTCCAAACAACAACACCCACCTCACCGCCAATGCAGCTGCTACTCACCGTGCTCGCGAGTCGCAGAACCCAACGCTCGCGCGCACGCACACGCACGATCACTGGATTTTATACGGCAGCAGCAGCAGCAGCAGCAGCAGCAGCAGTGGCGGCGGATATCACACGTTTGAAATTTTTTCCTTACCGTCCTCACTACCGACGCCCCCACCGACGACGACGACCCACCGCTCGGCCGATTACTGTGACCACGGCCGCCGCCGCCGATAGAAACCACCGTAGTGCGCGTTCGGTCACACACACAGCGCAGCACACACACACATACAGTACACCGACATCGCTCGGACGGTGCGGGGAAGGAGGCGGTGATATTAGCCATCGAGTTTTAATTTTGGTTTTTTTGTTTTTTTTTCTCCCCGTTCCGTTTTGTTTTTGTTTACTCGGCCGGCGACGACTGAAATCAAACCGCGTCTGAACGATAACGTCGCGCGTGTAGTTTGTCGATTTTGTTCTGGCACTGTCCGAAGCGAGTCGTCCATCCGCCGGGTTTTCCCGTTTCGCCGAGAGACAACGTCCGTCAGGTTGCCGGCCAGTCAGCCAGCCCGTGTTTCGTTCTCATCGATCGTCATGCTACATTCTTTGACGTGCCTGTCTGGTAATCTGTTGTCTCCGTCGACCGTCATCTGCGAGGTAAGCTCAGCACGCTGCTGTTGGTCGAATGTCAACATTCTAGCTGTTGGACGGGTAGGTTGTACCGTTTAAGTTCAGAAGCGCCATGCTCAGTTAAGTTAAAAAAAGAAAGGTTAGGTTCAATAACAACAACCAACACTTATCTTTCGAGACCCGCAAGATACACCCACGTTTAATACGATTAATTCAATATTTAATTTGTCTCAATAATATCAAACTCATATAAACTGGTATCTATATTAAATCCATATAATTGTTGGTATTATAAAGTATATCTTTCACTTTTGCAGAGTAGGTGTTTTGTTTACTCAATAATTTTGTAGGGTTCAAATGTGCTATGGGCTCTGATAATCTATACATTATGAGTAATGTCTTGACAGGAAGGAATGTACAACCTTAATAGAAACATGAGTCATAAGTTTTGATTCATTATGAATATGATCTAGTACTATTTTAATTATTACACAATATTATATTATAATATGTTAACATAATGAGAAAATAATAACTGTGGTTTGAGTTAACTTATGTGTTGGAAAGTACAGAACAACCATAGTGAGACACAAATTCTCAGATTTAGTACCTCGCCTTCACGCCCAACCGTAAAATGTATATAAATGCACATAGAAATATTTTGAGCATTTCAATAAATAGTTATCAATAGGGCATGGATTTCAATGCAAAGTATTTTTTTAGTTGATCTCAAACAATGCTCTGCAAGTACATAACATGTTTTATGTGCTAAAAATTTTCCTTAGCATTTTCATCATTATTGAGTCGTTTTATTGGTTTTAATGCATATTTGTTCAATATACTACACAAATTTAGCCTATTGAAAATAATATCTAAAGATTAATTGTTTTTCAATTTTAGGTTTATCGGGTTTTTCTCTACACATTATCAATCTTTATTTTTCGATTCAATTTTTATCTTGTTTTGCAATGCAGTGTTCAAAATTTAGTAAGCAAAATAAACTTACTTAGAATTTTAATTTTGCATACATTTTAATGTATATTTTGGTATATTTAGAATGAATAATATTGCCTCAAAAGTCCAAAAGATATGCGTGTCAATATCATCGCAGTATCAAGTCAATTTTTCAAATTTCAGCTTTTCTTAGTAAAATAATAATTATATCTTATTCATAAATTCCAAATTAAAATACCAAATTGTATAAAATAAATACATGGCATTTTTATACTTTTTTTTTTATTAATGCATTTTTTAGGGTATTTGAATCTTGGCCTTTGTTTAAAGGTTTCAAATTATTTCTGAGTTTAATTTATTTCAACTATAAGCAACTCCTTTACCATTGATTTCTTGTAGAACTTGAACGAATGTACCACCCAAAAGATACATGTTAAGGTCTGTCATTAGGATGCACTTATCTATGTAGTCACAAGTCGAGTAGTCTGTTCTGTTTATTTTTTGGGCAAATTTAACAATTGGTTATGTTTTGGTCGTGCACCGGTGCACCCTGTATTGAAAATGCACTAAATCAATCTATTGGTTGGTTAAAAACTATATTGCCTCATTATTTATATGTGATGTAGAACAACTCTAATAAATTGTATATTAGTATACTTGCATTACTAATTTTAATTATTTACTAGAAAATAGGCTGTTATATTATTCCATGTGAGCTGTGGAATAAAACAAATTCCTGGTAAAAAAATGTTTGTATCGCTGTAGAATCACATTATCATTATGGTTACATTTATAATATAATTCTATATAGTTATAACTATATAAGAGATATAAATATTAAATGAATAAAAAAAATTGTAAATTGTAATGATAAATAGAATTAGTTTGTTTTCAATCAAATATAGATAGGAAATTATAAGGTATCTTCAATAACTATTACTTTTTGTCTAAAAAAAAAGAAATTATAGTAATTGGTAAATATCTAGTTTAAAATGGTGAATGAAAAAAAAGTTCTTATTAATAAAATTGTATAAAAACATTATTGTAGATTTACGTTTGGATTATATTTCTACATATTACATTTTTTATCCAGAACTAAGTTAGGTTACATTTGTATAAATATATACATATATATGTATGGTTATGGTGCTTTAAATTTTGTCCTGCAGTATAGAATGTGTATTAATGTACTTTACTGGGTAGTAATATTCATCATACATCTATGAAAACAATTTATCAGTAAAGAATTGTCTATAAAAAATGTGTTTTTGACTAATACATGGCTAAAATCTGATTAAATTTGTATGTGTAATATTTTAATTTTTTTTTAAATATTATGTGTAAAATGTAACTATATACCCGTAACATAAATAAAAAATAATAATTAACAAAATAATGTACAATTAGGTTTTCGTATATGATTTTATTTACGGGACTTTTTTTCTGGCACTTTTTCAAATAAGTAAAGAAAACAGGGCACCTGCATTTGTTGTCTTTGTCTTACGTTAGGGCATAACATACCAAATTGTTCGCTTAGTAGATCACGTTTAACTCCGTTAGTTAAAAATCATAATGAATTGACCTTTCATAAAATTTAAAGGTAAATTATTATTATATAATAATAATTATCTTAAGTACAATCCCCTCTTGTATTTTGACATTATTTTTATATAAATAATATTTTAATAAAAATGATATTAGTCTTTGTTTAAATTGATTTACTGACTATGAATTAGTTTTAAATATAACATCAAACATATCTACTTTTAAATATGTTGTACATTACGTATTATTAACATCCTATTAATACATTTTAATAATTTTTATTAAGTAGGTATTAAGTTCAAGGATCCACTAAGGTCTACTAACGATAACCTCTGGTATGTTATGAAAACAATTTTATAACTGTTTATAATGTATATTAAACTTTTAAAATACAAAACTATTCTAAACAAAGACTTTTGTTCTATGTATATTTCTTACATTTGATTGATAAGTCAGGTTAAATTTTATCGCTTTACTTACTATATAATTATAATAATATAATGCTAGGTACACTGTTTTATAGTGTTGAAATATAACTTAAAGCCTCAGTAATTAGTTTCTGTTTAAATTTACTCATTGTTTTTTTTTTACCAGGTTTATGTTATTCTAAAAATCTAAACCTTATAAATGTTTTTTTTTTATAACTTAAATATATTTATGCATAAATATACTCAATGGTAGTAGGTACTTATGATTAAAATTGAATTACATTGTTTATGTTTCAGATAACCTATGTTTTATAACATATAAATACAAGTTAAATTGGCCTATGATATCAACAATTAAGAATTATTTAACTAATATGAAAACAAACAGAACAAAATGACTTCAAGTGATTTGGCTCAAAAACCATTTTATTGCCGGGAATGGGTGTTCCAAAAATTATTACATTGCTTTGATCAGAGAAGCAATTGGAAAACATGTGGAGCACTTCTAGTTGGAGGTGCTGGATGTGGAAAGACTTCACTATGCTGCGAAATTGTTCATCCGACCGGCAGACAACAACGTGCATTAAACAGAAGACTATTAGCTTATCATTTTTGTCAAGCTCAAAATATAAACACATTATCAGTTACACATTTTATTCAAAGTTTGGTTTCACAGTTATCTGATTCATTGCCCAAATCATACAAAGAAAGACTAAAATCTGATCCAGCAATACAAGAATCTTTATCTCCAATCAATCTAGTGAAAGATGCTGATGATGCATTTAAAAAAGCTGTTATTTTTCCACTAGTTGATCTTGAACTACCAAAACATACAATGTTTCTTTTAGTTGATTCAGTTGATGAAGGATTATGTACAAACGATAGATCTGATCCAAAGTTTAAGAATAATTTAAGTAAAAACATTACAGAGCTATTAGCTTCTCATCATCATTTATTTCCCCAATGGTTGATGCTTATCTGTACAACACGTAGACAAAATAAAAATGTTGCTCGTATGTTCTCTGGTTTTCGTAAAATTTGCATAGACGATCTCCGTAAATCACAAGTATGTATGACTATTTTTTATTATTTATAAGACTTGCATATTTATTTTTTACCATAACCTTTGTCATACACTACTTTTAATATTAATATTATTTAATATTTATTCATAGGTCGTTAGAGATATACAACAGTACATATTGAGCCGTTTGGAATCAGAAGAATCTTTACGCCAACACATGAGTAGAGATACAGCTGAAATGTTAAATCAATTACACATAAAAAGTAATGGTTGTTTTCTTTATTTGGAAAGGGTATTAGATGGCATATCTGACGGATGTGTAGTTTTGAGGGAAATAAAAGATATTCCTGGAACTCTTAATGGACTTTATTTATGGTTTTGTCAGAGGCTTTTGAATTCAAAACATTTTTCAAAAGTAAGTACTTTAAAAAATACACAAATTAAATCCTTATAATTAATTTAACTCTACAATTGTCTTTCAGGTACGGCCCTTGTTAAATGTAATCTTAGCATCTCCAGAACCTTTATCAGAAGAACAATTAAGTAGTATTATACATTCTGTATATCAGTACATGTCTGTGGACGAATTCCACAAACGATTTAGCTTATTAAGAAGAATATTTTCATTGCCAAGAGATTCAAAAACTATACAATTTCATCATAGTTTTGGAGAATGGTTCCTAGATGTCAAACATTGTACTAGAAGGTTTTTGTGCTCTGCAAATGAAGGACATGCTATGATTGCTTTTCATTATACACTTAGGTATTTATTTCTATATAAAAATGATTTAAACTGAAAATAAATATATTTTACACTTTTTATATTATGTTTAATTTTCTTATATTTATTTAGATGTTCGAGACCTCCTGCATATGATGAAGTTCATAAATTAGCATATCATTTATCGAGAGTCAACCCATTACCGGTCTGGACAAACTTTTCTGACACAAATTTATTGCCATTACTATGGTTGATTGATAGTGGAGCACAAATTTCTGAAAGTATGACAATTCCTTGTTATGATAGAAAAACTGTTAATTTTTTGGAAGGAGCTTGTAATTGTTTTAAATCAGATGTTGATCTAAAATCTAATAAGGTGAAAAATAACTTATGATATTGAAATGTAATCAATTTTTTTAATCTTGCTTACATAATTTATTTTTTTTAGTTTGAAACTAATTTTGGATTAGTATCATCGCCAAAATATGAAAAAAATTCAGTACTTTATTCAAATACCTTATTACCTTCAAATTTATATGAAGTAGATATCAATGGCAGGAATACTTTACATTTGCTTGCAATGGATGGAAATTTAAGTGTTCTTCAGGATTTATTGAAAACTCATTCAGATGTAAATTTAGAAGTAACTGACAATAATGGACAAACACCACTTAATATAGCTGCACGTCACGGTTACCTTGAAGTTGTAGAGGTTGTTAAATAATACATAGTTTTGAATATTCAATTTTCTAAAATTCTAGCGTACATAAAAGCATACAATTTTTAGTTATATCATTAATTTAATTTAAATTTACAATTAACCAACATAATGATAAAAAAATGATATTTGTTTATTTCCATTGCAATACGTTTTTCTTTCTTGTCAATAAATATTTATAATTGTATGTTAACGTTATTGATATTTGCCTGGAAATGTTAATAATAGTTGTTACACTTAATTTTTTGTTTCAGCTTCTATTAAAATATAACTGTAAAATAGATCATGCAGATGTTGAAGGATGGACTGCTTTAAGAGCTGCTGCATGGGGTGGCCACTCACAAGTAATAACATACATTTTGATTCACTAAAATTATAAATTGTATATTATACATTATAATATTAGGTGGTGGAGTTACTGCTTAAGCATGGAGCCGATGTTGAATGCTCTGATTGTGAAGGACGTGGAGCATTACGTGCTGCGGCTTGGGGAGGTCACAATGATGTTGTGATAAAATTACTAGAAGCTGGCGCAAACCCTAATACTACTGATGGTGATGGTAGAACTCCATTAATTGCTGCAGCATATATGGGCCATGCACATATTGTAGGAAGATTGCTGGATAATGGAGCGAATATTAACCATCAAGATAGTGATGGACGTACTGCTTTGAGTGTTGCTGCTTTATGTGCACCTACTAATGGAGGATATGCCAAGGTTGTCACTTTATTGTTAGAATCTGGAGCTTTTGTTGATCATGAGGATAAAGATGGAATGACACCTCTACTTGTTGCCGCATTCGAAGGCCATAGGTATTATTCTAAAAGTTAATTAACAACATTATTGATCATTTTTATTTTATTCATAATTGTTTTTTTCAGAGATGTTTGCGAAATTTTATTAGAAGCAGAGGCTGATGTAGACCATTGTGATAAGTTAGGTAGAACACCTTTATGGGCTGCTGCATCAATGGGACATCCTGCTTGTGTTTCACTTTTACTATTTTGGGGTTGTTATGTAGACAGCATAGACAATTAAGGTCGTACTGTGCTCAGTGTGTCTGCTGCTCAAGGGAATAATGTTGTAGTGTCTCAACTACTAGATAGAGGTATGTATTTTTGATTTAAAGGCTTGACAAATATGTTAAATGACATCGTCGAAAAAGCTCTATAAATGATATTTGTTTTAAACATGATTTCCATAGTATTAACTGTTTTTAAATATTGTTCTTGGGTAACTTAAATCTTAGAATTTTTTCAACTAATCGGTGTAAAAATTTGAAATTTCCTTCGAAAATAGATTTTACGTACAGTCAGTATCATCTATAATGACAGCCATGGAACCGTAAAAAATACTTCATTATGACCGGTTTTATTGTAGAAAGTATCGTCCGTATTTTGGTAATATGTGTCTTACCGTTAAACTTATCAACCATTTAGATAATCCAACTTCATTAACTTTTTTGTTATGTACCATATCTAACAAAGATACAATTAGTATTTCACATAGCTTTATAAATTGAAATTTTCAATATTATTAGACATTCTTATTTTAATTTGACTATTTAATTAGTTTTATCTGTTAAATTGTTGTGGTTATAAACATCTATTTATATTATAGGTCTTGATGAACAACATAGAGATAATTCTGGTTGGACACCATTGCATTATGCTGCATTTGAAGGGCATCAGGTTGTTTGCAGAACATTGTTAGAGAGTGGAGCAAAAATTGATCAAACTGATAATGATGGTAAACCACCATTAATGTTAGCAGCTGAAGAAGGACACTCGGATTTAGTAAGTGAATTTTTAAAAAACTATGGAGCCCCTCCAGATCAGAAAGCTCATGATGGAAGAACTGCTTTAAGGTATTATAATTATTTAAATAATAAAAAACTGTACACTGTTCTTAATATGTCATGTATACTTATAGATTAGCCGCATTAGAAGGTCATATTGAAGTAGTTAGAAGTCTTGTAGAATATGGAGTTGACGTCAACAAAAAAGATGCTGATGGTCGAAGTACTCTTTATGTCCTTGCTCTTGAAAATCATTTAGCAATGGCTAAATTTTTTATTGATCCAGGCGGAGCAGATGTCGAAAGCACAGATTCAGAAGTCAGTATCATTAATTTTTAGTTAAAATTTTTTTTTCTTTTGAACATAAATTGAATAATACTGAATTGTTTTTTTTAACTATTTAAGTTAGTAAAATCTGCAAATTGTTCAATATAATTATTTTATTAATTCAAATTACCTTAAGTTAATATTATGACAAAAATGTATCGCATAAATGACCAAATAATTACAATAAACATAATTTACAGTTTTTCTTTTAATAACTAATTATTTCTTATAGTTATTTATAAATAGAAAATGTTTTTACTGATTATAGTTTATTAATATATGGAATTATAATGCCATTTTTTACGAATAAATGTCCAAACAATTTTAATAAACTCAATCTTTGTATAATAATAAATTAATTAAGGTACTAAAAAATTTAAAAACAAGGATCTTCAAGTATAAATAAAATGTTTTTTTAAAGCACTATAATTATTTTTTATATCAATTCATGATTATTGTAAACCGATTGGTTTACAATAATCATGAATAAAAAAAAAAAAAAAAAATATTTGTATACAGTGAATATCAACTAAATAAGTATTATTGATGCTGTAAATATCATAATAATTAATATTTTAAAAATGTTAAATTGTTATTCATAATGAATTATTTTTTTGAAATTTTAGAAAAATTCACTTAAAATCTTATGTTTTTACATTTTAGGGTCGGACTGCTTTACATGTTAGTTGTTGGCAAGGTCACTGTGAAATGGTATCCTTATTGTTAAAACTTGGAAAAGCTAATTTAAATGCAACTGATAATGAAAATAGAACACCTCTTCACTTGGCTGCATGGCAAGGACATTCTGTCATCGTCCGATTATTAATTGAACATGGTGCTAGTGTTAATCATGCGTGCAATCAAGGAGCAACTGCATTGGGTAAATTATTATTATACTTATAACTAAAAGTATTAATACCTTGTTTTTAGTTATTTTTTATTACTACTTATTATTCTTAGTATTTTCTAAATATTTTCTACAAAAGAAGTATTCTGTAAAAATATAATAACTTAAACATAAATTTATTTATGAATCCATTTAATATAGTGTGTTTATTCTTGAACTTTTGACTTCAGCCATTTATAATAGTACCATTATGTATTTTACGTATTATATTTTAAATTAACTTCTAATTAACTACTATATATATAAAATCCAAATACCACTTCTTAGTCACTGATCGCTGTAACTCTAAATCTACGCAACGTACAAACTTGAAATTTGGAATAGAAATTCTTCTCATATTTTCACGGTGCAAAAAGAAAGGATTTTCAAAAATGTTGTGTATTAGTGGAGTATTTAACAATTAGGATTATTCACCACTTAATATGTATTGTGTGGCACAGCGACCCATGGCTCTCTAGCTACCTGCAACTTATCCTTTTTATCTGTTGTGTAGATAAGAATTGTTCCGAGAAGTTATACAATTTTTGTAAAGATTTCTTAAAACATCATAGTATAACATAATATTTTTTTATAGAATAATATTATTAAATGTCATTACTTTAACATTTATTTACTTAATATTAAGACAATTGTGTTTTAAGTATTATTTTAGTTTTAAACAATTTATTGTTAATTTAATTATTTTGTTTTTAAATTGTACAGGTATTGCTTCTCAAGAAGGTAATGAGACTTGTGTTCGATTATTGTTGATGCAAGGTGCAAATCCATTAGTATCCGACCATTGTGGACGAAATGCTATAAAAATTGCTGCAAAAAGTGGTCATGACAATATTGTTAAGCTGCTTGAACAATTTTGTCCTATAAAAAACGAAAGTAATATTAAACATAAATTATATTTAACATTTATATCAAACAAACTATATTTTCAGGTAATGGATTTAATACAGCTAATACTTCTTGTGGTTCTGGTTCAACAACTGAAACTAAACCATCCTCTGCTGTATTAGTAAATCCATTATTATCTTGCGCAAATCATGCTCAGATTCATGATTCATCACCCATTGAATCACCAGATTCAACAGCTAAACGAACATCGTTTGTTTCAAACTATAGCAAATCCAGTTCTAATTTAACTGATAGTACTAAAAGTTCTCACCAAGATTTACCAACCCAAGTAAATACATTTTGGCAACAAATATGCTGATAATATATATTTATATATATATTTTAATGGATGATAATATCATTATTTTTTGCAGTTGACACCATTGACATTTACACAAAAATTACAACAATGTAGTCGACGTATCAAATCTAGACCCACTTCTAAAGTTCTAAGTCCTTTGCAGAGTCCTATATATGCAACTCCGCCTCACAGCCCCAATTCAGAAGAACCATCAGCTCCAAGTATTCAAGGTAATATAATTAATACATTTTTGAAGTATTCAAATTACAGTTTTTCAATATTTTTGTGTAAACTGAAAAATAAATTTTAAATTTTAAACAATTTGTATTAGCTATAGATTGACAAAAATGTTTTAATTTCTTTGAAGTTACCAAATTTACAATGTTATGTTTTTAAATTTACGCTCAGCAGATCACGTTTAGCTTTGTTAGTTTAAAAATTAGAGTGAATCGACTTATTATGAAACTTAATGGTTGGAACATTATCTATGTATGTAATGTGGGTTTTTTACGATATCTCAATTTTTCAGCAATTTTTATGTATATAATATAGCTTAAATTAAAAATACTCACTTAAAAACTAAATTATCGTAAAAATCCCACATACAAACACTTAATGTTCTACCATCAAGTTTGATAGAGGTCTATTCACTCTTAATTTTTAAGCCAATGAAGCTACATGTGATCTATTAAGCTTAAATTTGCCATGTTACTCACTTGTATGATAGAAACAACAAATGCTAGTGTTACTTTCTCTCAGCAATTAAACTAGTTATTAAACTGTATTTATAATTGTCTTCCTGATTCAAAAATACTCACTTTTAGATACTATTTTTAACATTTTGCGCCCTAAAGTAGTTTATTTTAAAGGAAATTTCCTTTCTGTTTCTCCGCTATTATTTTTTTTGTTATTATCAATTAAAAAAACATAGTTTAAATTTATTTAATTTAATACCATATTAGATAAAAAGTTTACTATATTAATTTAAAATCTGAATTTAATTAAAATTAATATATCTAACATTATCTTATATTTATTGAATGTATGTACTTGCCACATTATTTTCATATTCTAAACATTTTAAAAGCTTATATTAGATGGAATATTTCATTGTATTTAATTGTTTTAAATATATCCAGACATTACTTATGACTTGTATTTTATAGTGGTATGCACTTACATTTTAGTATTATTTCAGTATTAACAGATGATCATTTTTCGCGTGACACTCATATGCGAATTATTCTTGGTAACAAGGCTGTGTTAAAAAAATCAACTTCTGATTCAAAGTATTATATTATTGTGATTTTATTAAATGTATACTATGTTAATGTTTATAATATCTTGTTTTACAGTTACAACAAGAATTTGGCCAACGTTAAGCAAAAACGTAATGGTATTGTTACAAATCCAGCTTTAAGAATAATGCCAGCTATTCGTAATGGTTTAGAAATGGCTGCTGGACGTAAAAATAAAACACCTCATTTGCCCACTGATAGTTTTAAATGGCGAAAAGAAACGCCATTGTAAATATATATTTTATAATCCCAAGTGAGTTATTATTAAAGAGTATTTATTTTTTTTTTTTTTTTTAAAAAATGTTGATTACAAAGGTTGCCATTTTATTTTAACTTCTATGGAAGGTTTGAAGACTAACCCAGTTATAAAGTTAGAAATTACCAATCATCCTCTAGGCCTTAATGAATGAAATAAATGTACTAAGTAATAATTTATACTTTAGATTTATAGAAATTATGTACATTTTATATCAAGTTGATCTAATTTTGATGAAATATATTTTTTATATCTTTCCTTCATGCTCTTAAGTATTTGTGGCCAATAAAATATTATTATCTTTTAATATATGTTACAAGAACTAAGTATTTATCAAATTCATCCATTTGGAAGACAATTATTGTTTTGGTTGTACAGAGTAATATTTTGTAACTTGACATTAAAAGGAAAAACAGATTGATTTGTGTATACTTAGTTGTAAGTATGGTTTAAGAATATTTTAATTTATAGTGCAATCTAATTTTAGTATTAGATAATGTTTCTCAGTGTTAAAAACTGAAATAAGCTTAAACATGGCTAATCTTCCTATATACTTAAGCAATTATTTTTAGCGGTTTTTGTACCGTTTACTTATAGTTAAAAAACTATAGTGATTGTGATAGAACTGTAGAAGTGAGCATTTAAAAATTACTGATGTATTAATTTAAAACCATATATTTTAAGTCCAATTGATTCAAACACTTGTAATTACTTAAAATCCGTTCTAAAATCTGCATTTAAAATAAACCAATTCTGTATGTACATTGTGATGTACAGCAATCACGAACAATATTTTCATCAAGTAAATAACTATTCAATTTATTATAAGGATGTCAGCCCACCATTTGTTTTCTATCTCTAACCCACGCTCAACCTAGCAAATTTAGCAGAACCCATTCTGTGTTGTTACTTTTAATATTAAGAGTGAATTCACTTTGAAACTTTTCCGTCAGTAAATGTAAATATAACAGAGGAAGAATGTTACCAGATGAATTGGTTTTAAGTGGTATTTGTTGGGAAACCATAGAGACTTTTCTAGTTCCTGTTCCCGACAGATAAGCACATACATTGTTGCCAATTATTATTGAACATGTTGCTGCAGGCACAACAATAATTACTGAAGAGTGGCGCTCCTTCCAAAGGCTACTTTGGCACACACTAATACTGTTGAGAGTTCTTGGGGCAAAATAAAATCATAAGATCTTTTACTTTTTGTCAAACTATATGTTAAGAACATTGCCTGTGTCTTTTGGTTGTCTTTTTTTCAATATATTAATTTTTATGCAATTATAAGCATTTGTAAATTGTAATATTTTACATTCTGACAACTTCCATAAAAATTAAAATGTCATAAACATAACGACAGATTTGTTCTTAACAAAAAGTTGCAACGTAGGCTTGGTTCTGTTTAACATAAATTTTATATGTTATGTGTGAGTTAGAAAGAGAAACTAAATATTATGCTGACATCCTCTCAAGACAAGGTTTTTTAATTTATTAAATAAATATTTGTCAAAACTAAATAATATAAAAAATTACTTACAATAACTTTAACATAAGTATCACTTATTGTATGATGTAGTTGTTATTGATTTATAATCCATGTATTGATAATAGTTCATTATTTTAGAATTAACCAAACTATAATTTAAATTTCTTTTCATACTTAAATTTTTCACTATAATTTATTTCTGATGAGAGGCTTCAATTAAAGGTTTGTCCATCACTAATACACATGGTTAGTAATAGCAAATATATAACTTTGCATCTTCTCTTTCTCATTATATTCACATAATATCCATCACAACATTCGTATTTAACGCCGGTAAACAAAACTACCTCAAAAATGTTCATGACAATAGTTTAAAATGCATACAATTTGCTGCATAACATGCCCTACAAATGTCTATGTCACATTTCAGCATGTTTGTGATAAATAAAATAATATAAATTGTATTTATGATTAAAAAATCTCTGGACTTTTAAGAAATTCCTATTTTTATACAACCTTAATCTTAGAAAGATTTATTATATACCACCATTACCATACCACTGTGTTCGGCGTTGTGTGTGTGTTCCTTACTACTTTTGGATTGTACAATGAACAAATTTTCCTTTTTCTTTGTTGTCAACAGTTTTTTCATGTAGAAGTATTGTTTGTATTACTTCAGTACAAGTTTTGAGGGCATATTGAATGCCTGAACTTTTATTATTTGTTATGTTGAAAAATTTGTTTTTCTATCAATTTCAACAGCCCGTTTTTTTTTATTATTAGTATTCCAATTGCAATAATATTGTTGGGGCTCTGGTAATTATCATTGTTTACCATATTGATATAATTATATTCAAAGCCCCATTATATAAACTAGTATGTAGAATTAATGAGTAGGTATTATATTTATTTTATTACTACTTATAAGTTTTATTTTACATTTTAAAGTTAAATGTCTACTACTGTTTGTATACGATAATAATAAATTTGCACTTGTGTACTAACAAATTACTTGTCTGTATCAAATTTTTTTTACTGTATAACTAAAGCTTATTACAAAATATAATACTTATGCCTGATTGCACAAACAATCACTAAACATTTAAAGAATCAATAGTGAGCTAAAGGTCCCTTAAACATGATTTAGTGGTCCATTAAATTTTATTGACCCATTAAATGAATACATTTTTCATGCAATCAGGTATTATTGTATTTATTTTTTAAGAACCTACTGGTTAAATAAACCTAATAATTAATGATACATCACAATTAGTCCTTATTTATTTTAACTATTTTTTAATACGAATAAATCTTTCTAGTCCTCTTTTTTTATCTACATTATTATAATACAAATAATGTAAAAAACTTATTACTATATTTTTTCATTTTTTTTTTGTAATTGAAACTCCGTATGAAATAATAACTTTTTTTAACTACTTTAAGTTTCTAGTCACTAAATTTGTTAGTACAATTTTTAAAGTCGTTTCTCATGTTTGATAATATTGTACAAGCAAAGCTCAACGGCAGATTTTTTTTGGTACTTAGTTATGTATAATTCTAATGTGAAGTAGACTGATAGAATTTTTATAGTAAAGCTTGAATTATATTAAATTTAATAAATGGAAATATATTTTAAACAATACTCAGTGTTTTTTTTAAAAAAATTTTTGATATTTTGTGAGGTTCCTCATAAATAAAAACAATTAATTTACAAAAATTGTGGCTTGGTCTTAACACTCAGTTGTGTAAGAGCATGTGGAACTGAGTGTTCACACCATCCGGTGTTGCTAGTTAACATATCTTTGCCACACATACACAAACACATGTTCAAACTAACTATTCTATCCCTACAAACAAAAACTGCCTATGGCTAAAGTTATCAGGATTAAGATCAATAAAAAAAAAAGAAAAATACACATCAAAATTCCGAAAGTGGAACGTAATATTAACTTTGACAAGAACTAAGAAAACAGTTTTGGGTCGTAAGTGAACAATTACTTACTGGGCTTAACAAGGCAACACCCTACTCGTGACTTTTATTTCAAACATATCAATCAATACTATCTGCAATCGTAATATAAGAGGTAAGTCAATTGTGTGATTTAATTTTTTTTCTAGGTAGTCTTAAATATTCTTAAATCTTAATGCATTTGGTATACACTAGTACATTTTTTTTTTGTTAATTTGACGACATAATGTAACCAAGTGAATATACAAATACGTAAACGTTTTAACAGTGTTCTAAATACTTATTTGTAAAACTGTAAAAGTGTGTCAGTATCTGAGTATTGTATTGGTATGCAAATACTTTTTTTTCTTAATTTTAATGGTTAATGAAACATGAGCAAGTTTTATAGTTATACCTTATTAGGTACTTATTACAATTTTACAGATTGTATCTACCCACTTTATATTTTTAGTAACTGCAGTTTATTTAATGTTTTTGTACATTTAATTTATAAATGCATATTATGTCCTATATTATTAATATAAAATTGACTTGTTCAAATTAGAATATTTATGATTCAATGAAATGGTTATTAAAGACTAAAGTTATAAATAATAATTTATTTTGCTTTTTTTTGCATTAATGCATTTTATAAGAAATGTTCAGAATTTAAATCATTCTTATTAGGATGATGCCAAAATATTTTACATATTTTTAAATATTTCATTAATTTGTAATTACTTTTAAACTTATTTTATTGATTCAATCATTTATCATTCTTCAATCATGTTTCAGTGAATAAAAACAGCCATTAATTGGGTACACTGTTGTTACTTATATTCTTAACTTCCATGACTACCTATGCATCCATCTCCAATATTATGCAAAATGAAACATTGAAAGATTACTTAATTTTCATCTCACTGAATTTTAGATTTGTAGTGTGTAATTACAACATAAGAAACAAAAAATATGTCTATAAATTATAGTAGGCAAACTGCCCAATTAGCAATAGAAAAATTAAAACTTGTAAGTAAAAGTATAGGAGTTAGAGAAAAAAATCTTTAATTTTTAGGACTATTGATTTTAAGACAGTCAATGACATAATGATTTGAGAAAAATATTACCCGAACTTTAAATTTTGCAGTTGTAATATTATTTTTCTTATTTTGTATTCATATTTTTGATAATTATATAATGTATTTTCCTAAAATGTATTTTATTTTACTAAAATTTACAAAAAATGAAAAATAGCGGATAGTATTTTGATAGACAAAAAAGATACCAGTTTTCTAGTTTCTATATTTATAATTTCATTAATTGGTTATCATTGTTATTGCACATTAAATGGGTAAGGATGATTTTTATTCATTATGCAAAGTAATTAGTGAATAAAGTATGCATGTAAGACTCATTCTAACGCATAATAACAATTTATCATACAAACCATATTTTTTATCATTAAACAATTATTATTTATAGAAACTTGAAACATTACACTATTACTTAAGCTACCATATTTTCTAACTACAATGACATTTTAGAAATATTTTAACTAAGTATAAGCTACTTATAGGCAATTTAAATTATTTAGTTGTTGAATTTTTATTATGCTCAGTCAAAAAGCATACAAATGTAATACAAGACCTTGCTTATGTTTTTGTAGCAATTTAAAAACATTAAAAGTACAAAGTCACAATTTTTGATAATATGTTGAAGACATAATATTATTATACATTTGTAATTCAACTACAAATTACTAATTTCGATGATGGGCAAAATTTTATTTTATATATTTATCATATTATGAAGTATATTATTGTAGACTACAAAGAATATAGAACCTACAAACATCTTGCAGTAATGTAGGCTGTCTTAACGACAAAATACAATTATCTATATATCTACATAACTTCTCGTATTACCTCGCACTACCATATATATTAACTAAACGAGTAAAGAACAAGTGCCCTCTATATTGTTACGCTTTCCACACACTCACTGCTTGACTAGTGGTATAAGGTCTATGGCCAATTTACACTTTGTTTTCAATTGAACAATCTTTGTATCTTTTAGGTTAAAATTAAATATCAGATTAGTATCTCAATAATTTAAAATATAGAACACAAAATGTGTCATTATCAGAGGTTAATAATTCAATAAAAAATTATTATCAATTTGATAATTTAGATCAAAATAACAAACAGTCTTCCTACATACAGCTTGTCATATTTATTATAATAATCGCAAACATCAATCATTATTTTTGAATAACGGAAAATTATATAACTATAATAAAAAAGTGCGTTAGGTTCTCTTAATCACTAACATTAATTTAATGTAAACATTGAATAGTTAACCATGAACGATCTAAAAAAAAAATTATACAATTGATTAACCAACAGACCACACTAGTGTGTGAAATATCAAGTAGTATTATAATTATACCTTATATGATTAATTATTTGTTTAAAACGAAGGTTTTTTGTTTCACAATTATTAATACAGTATTATAGAAGAAATATAAATATCAAAATAAATAGTATTAAAATCATTTATTTTTATATACTGCTTGTATGATAAAAACCATGTATAATTTTATAAATGCAGTCTGTGTTAAAATCACCAACAAATAAAATGAAGCTGACAGAATTTTGATGGACAAAATAAAATTCTTAGATTCTAGATCTATAGCATATAATAATCTCTAATGTCTAATGGGTTTTTATTGATCGTTAATCATTGTATACATGAAAAGAATAAGGATAATTTTTTTTTTCATTTTACAAAATAATAACTAATAATTTATGTACGTTAAGACATCATGGGAGTGATTGAAATAAACACTAATGGTACCCCATATAGTATGTACTAGGTTATTTTGGTCCGTACATTACATTTAATAATAATAATAGTAATAATAATGGCGGATTTGTAACAATGTACTGATTGAGGATTTAATTAAAAACTATATACTACACATCAAATCTTCTTTACACATTCACCAAACATGCACTTCACGGATCTCACTAATGATGTTGTTAGCATTCT